GTTCAACATCTCTGACTGCCTCCCATCTCACAATAAGAATTATTTTCTTTTTCTGAGCAAGTTCTCACCTAACACTTGCTTTATTTACACTGCTACATTAGATATGTTTTAGTCATCCATTCTTCATATGTTTCATGTTATAGGCTCAGTTTTTCTGTTCTCTAGGGGATTTTTTTATATATAAAAGTGACTAGTATGTATTCTACATCAGTCTTCAGCCCTCACAAAGTTCAGCAGGAATACACTGCGTGCGGAAGCATATCTCTCATACACACACACACACATAGACATATGTACACACACATGTCTCTACTGCTGGAAAAGCTCATGGAACTTAAAAATAGGGCATGCTCTCATAGGTATGGTTAAGATTAGACTCTTATGCTTGGCAAGTGTAAAATAATCCCTCCTATACATTGTAGGACAGTGGGATCAGCTCTAAATAAAAAAAAAATAAAATATTTCCTCCGATGCAGCAAAGACAGTTGGGATCAGCTGCTTAAGCATTAAAGTAAAAGCATACTCACCTTGTTAGTAATTTCAGACAGGTCTAGAAAGACAAGTTGACTTAAAAGCAAAAGAGTGGCCCAGTGTCAGCATTGCTACTAAAATAACAGTAGGGGGAGAATTGTCATTTGTCGTAATAAAACAGCACTGATTTCTAGATTGGTTTATTGAATGAAAGTAAGAGCACTTGACTTTAAAGCAGCTGAAATATTAAAGTAAATAAGTAATTTATTTGACATCTTGTTTTAAAGTCCTGGCTTGCTTTCAGTCCATGCTTCCTTCTGTATTGTTTGTGGGGGAAGGTTGTGCTTGAACAAGTGTATAAATACTCCCTTGACCCCACAGAGGTCTCTTCTGAAGTCTTTCACCACACGTTTTGGATCACCAAAGCCTTCAGCTTGTGATGTATTTTTAACTATCTTGGTCTCTCTTCTCATGGTAGATTTTTCTGACTTTGTGATCCCTCAAATAATACATACAGTCATAATGCTGATTCCTTTAATTTATAAGTAACAATGCAGAAATGTAAGACCTTTTAAGTCAGTGTGTTTTTCTAGCTATGACACTAAAATACCAGCTTCTGGCTATTTATTTTAATTTTTTTTTTTTTTTCCTTAATCAGGAAATGGCAAACATTTTGGCACAAAAGCAGCTTCGTTCCATCATCTTAACTGTAAGTATATAGTTGTCAAAGTTACTGTTGAGTAGGAAAAGTGACTGCATTTTTGGTGGTCATAGGTCTTATCTTAATGTGTTTTAATTGCCTTTTTATTTTGATATGTTTTGCAGCCTTGCAATATAGAAGATAAGGTTTGAATGGTGGTTGAATGGGTTCAAGAATACTTTTTGAAGGGTCACAGAAATTTTGGTTCCTTCATGAAAATGCAGTATTAAATACCCCTGTGTTTTTTGGTTCTTTTGATTATTCTGTCTTGATTGACACAATTCCTCATGACTTGCACACAAGAAGCATGAATTAAAGCTAATGAAATAGTTAATGAATATAAAATTGAAGACCTGCATCTGTTATCATGAAAATGAGGGATTTTGCATTTGACATTTGAGTAGATTACATCTGCAGTGGAGTGAGGGAAAATCTTTTTCTGTAGTAGTGAGTGTAAAATAAACAAAACAACAAACAACCCCTCTCACTTTCTCATTTGCTATCATAATTCCACTGATGCATACAAAACCCTCAGAATTTAATGCAGAAGGCATGTTTTTACACTGTTTGAGTTCATAAGAAGTTTGGAACAATAATAAGAATAATATTCTTAGGTGTTTATTTATTTCATAAAATGCTTAAGTGCCTTTTGGCAGACAGATTCTTTTATTCTCTGTAACTGTACAACATCAGCTGACACATTCATCTCCCACTTGATGATGCTTTCCTTATGTATTTTGTTGTGGAGAGTCCTGGGTCCATTTCCCATATAAAACTACTTGGTGTTTTTGGCACACCAGGGATTTTTAAATTATCCATCACTTTTCTGTTTGCTTTGTGAATGGGATAACTCTGCATGTATAAGGCAACATATACTAATGTATTTCTAAGCAGTCTTCCTCATAGAGATTGGAGCTGTCTAGTAGAGGTAAGATTGTGGTGTGATGCTGACTCCCTGTTGAGCCCTGTTAAATCACTGTACTCTCTGGCTGTGTTTGCAGCCTGAATACTTTTCTGCTCAGACAACTACTCAAATATTTTATTATAATCTCATAGAAAAAAAATAACTAAAATACAGAGATCTAAACCTATTGGGATGGAATTATTTTTTCTTTGAAGTGGCTTCTCAGCAATGTTTTTTTTTTTTGAGCATGCACTGTTTTTCTCAGTGTATGCACAGACCCTATGTAGTGTAAAGTTGTCTCTCCTTAAGTTACTTAATACAATATCTGAATCAGTAGTGCTAGTCCTAGTGGTTTGGTTTTCGGGAGTGAGCTTGTATTTGTGTATGGGGTTTTTTGGCTGTTTAGGTTTTTTGTTTTTTTTTTTTTCATTTCTGGAGTACAGATACAGTATTGCATAGCAAGAACATTCTTAGAAATGGAAACACCTGACTACACCCTCTGTAATTTTCTGATTCACCAAAGATCTGTCTCTCTTTTTTTACAGCATGTTATCAGGGCACAGAGAGCCATCAATAATGAAATGGCACACCAGCTATATGTTCTGCAAGTGCTTACCTTTAATCTTCTGGAAGACAGAATGATGACAAAAATGGATCCCCAAGATCAAGTAAGCATCTGGCATGATCTGGTCTTAGCAGGAAGAAGACAACTCCTAACTGATGTACCTAAAGCTCTTCATGGAAGAAAAAGACACTTGCTAGGAACATTTACATAAGTCATTCATTTTCTCTCTCTGTGAAGTTGGGTGATGGGCTTTTTTTTGGTTGTAAAAAGATGCACTGGCTATTTCATTCTTTGTGCAAAAGTACAACAAAGTGGCCAGGCAATTCTCCTTAGCATGTAGTTCCATGAAAAGAATTTCCTGTCTTCCTGAGCAGAAACTCTGAGCTGCTGAACAGCATTTGTTTCCTTTGTGTCCTTCTCAGAAACAATAGAGATGTATGGTCCTTCCTAAAAGTCCCTCTGTAAAGTATTTGAATTCAAAATTGAATGTTTGCATGAAAACTATCTGGCATGATAGAGTTGAAGCTAAATTGTGTAACAATAAACCCTGGGTTTGTTACTGGGAACCTATAAGGTATTTAATTTGTTTATTGCTCTCTGTGTGCAGACATCGACTTTGGTACTGGTCATTGTGCAAGAAATGACA